TGTGCCAGTTTACTGGTATTTCTCCAGCTGTGCAGCCTCCAATTCGCTGTTGTTTTTGAAATCTGACAGGGGCCTCTCTTCCACTGTGCCAGGTCTATTTGAAGTTCCTCCTTCTCACTTAACTTTTCCGGTTACCTCTCCCACTTATTCACACACTTTGAATGTGCCTCTTCATATCCTCAGATTCTCATGCCCCAACTCCTTGGAGCCTAATTGTGCTTTCTCTTCTGTGCTCAATCCTGTTCTTGTGTCTTATTCATAATTTTTGGTTTTTTCTTTTAAATTTTGCCCTTTAGATTTCTGTTTAGCCAGAATGTATCTGTGAGGATTTTTTGAGCCCTGACTTAAGAGAACATGTCTACAGTGAGGAGTGGTGGCCACACCTATAGTCCCAGTAACTTGGGATCAAGAGGCAAGAGGATCGACTGCAAGTTCAAGGCCAGCCTGGGCAACTTAGCAATTTGGAAAGACTCTGTCTCAAAATTTAAAAAAGATTTTTTAAAAAAGGACTTGGGACATAGCTCAGTGGTAAAGCACCCATGGTTTCAAGGCCTAGGACAAAGCAAATAAATAGTAAATAAGTTTAAAAAAAAAGAATATATTCCTATAAAATATGTTTATTTGCTTTGAACATTTGCCCCTTGGCACCATCAACTCAGGACATTTTAAAGTCAGTGCCTCTACGTGACAGGCCTCAGGACACACAAAAGCAAACTCAAACTCTAGAAGCCACACAGAGAGGAAATGGGACACAATTTGCAGAGATGCCTGTTCCTTCTGGCCACCGAGTTTTCTGAAGTTGTCCTTGTGTAGGGCATTTGGTTGCTCCAGGTGCTTCTCCACTCTTGGTAGGAGTTAACGCCACCTGCCCTCACCACGTGGCTCTCCATGGTCCTCTGGGGGCCAGAATGGGCCACCGTCATTCCCTTCTGGTTTTGCTGCAACAGAAGAACAATCCCAGAACCTACAGGCTGAACAGGACAGGCTTGCTCTTCAGTCCCCCGGGGTGTTCTGTCTCTCCTTGTCCTGCTGGGGGCGCTCCTTGTCCTGCTGGGGGTCTCCTTGTGCTGCAGCTCAGGCTCTGGCCTACTTCCCATTCGTGGCTGCACACAGAGCAGGAGGCCTCCTGCGTGGTGACCCAGGTGCCGTAGAGGAAGTGGACACTTGCCTGTGGACTGCCC